TGGGAAATGCCGGGGAAAAATTCGATCATTGTTAATGAGAGACGAGGGATTCACGAAACACCCGTAATAAACAGATTTGTCGGAAATATTTAATAGTCGCCGGGAAGAACGTCATTACCGAAACCGAAATTTGGAAATGTTCTACTCAATGGACATAATAAAACGATTTGCACGATGGATTTATAATTTTCGAAAATAATAATCAGGGGTTTTTGGAAGTTATAATATTTTAGTTTCCGAGAAAAAAAATGAAGCTAATGCGAAGTAAAAATTTTCTGCGCCAGAACAGACTCCCCCGTTGAGTAACTATTTCAATCAACGAAAAGATGTGAATTGAATTATGACGAGAGAACATAGCTGTCTGGTTTATGCTCCTATTCTGCTTCGCTGTTAATGATTGGCAATGGGGCGAGTTTTTTTAACATTGCGGTCAAAAAATCCCTTGGCTGTCTTCACGGTGACAGCACGGATGATGCCATCGGCCCCTGGATATACCTTGATAACACGTCCTAGGGCCCACTGGAGTGCGGGCAGATTGTCTTCCTTCAAGAGCACTACTGTGCCTTCCTGGATGTGATGTTCTCCTTTGCTCCACTTGGATCGAAGGCTGAGTTCACTGATATATTCCCGATGCCAACGGGTCCAGAAATGTTGTTTCAGTTTCTGAAGATGCTGCCATGATGACAGCCGATTGGTTGGAATATCAGTGAAGTCTTGTTCCCTTGGTCAAGTGAGCGACTCCCCGATCAAAAAGTGGCCAGGCGTAAGGGCCAACAAATCGTTAGGGTCGGACGACATTGGAGTCAACGGCCGAGAGTTCAATACTGCTTCAATCTCGATGACCAGAGTGTTGAATTCTTCGAAGGTGAGCAGCTCGTCCGTGATGATCCGATACAGGTGATACTTGAAGGACTTTACGGCTGCTTCCCATAAACCCCCAAAGTGTGGTGATAAGGGAGGGATGAAGTGCCATCGAATCTGTTTTGTAGTCAACCACGATTGGACTGTCTTCTGATGCTCTTCAGACTTGAAGAGTTCATAGATCTCCTTTAGCGCGTTGTTGGCCCCAACGAAGTTTGTGCCGTTGTCCGAGTGGATGTTTCGGCAGCATCCTCGTCTGGCGATGAATCTCCGTAGGGCCGCCAGAAAAGCCTCCGTTGTGAGATCACTTACAACCTCAAGATGGACGGCCTTTATGGCTAGACATATGAAAACTGCTACGTAGATTTTGACACGGCCACGATTCCGAAATTTCTTCTCCTTGACGAAGAAGGGACCGCAGTAGTCAACACCTACATTTGTAAACGGGCGGGACTCCGTAACTCTGGCTGTTGGTAGATTGCCCATGACGTAATCGACCGCTGGTGGATTCAGCCTCGTGCATCGTACGCATTTGTGAATAGTGCTACGCACGGAGTTTCGACCGTCCAGTGGCCAATACTGTTGCCTGATGTAATAAAGAGTTGCTTGAGGGCCAGCATGTAACTGAGACACGTGGGCTTCCTCAATGATGAGCTTGGTGACTGGATGAGACTTGGGTAGAATGATCGGATGACGTTGTCCATATGGAATCATTGCATTTTGCAGTCTGCCTCCCACTCTGATGAGTCCATCCTTGTCCAGGAATGGGCTCCGCTTGGACACCTTAGCCAATTCTCCGTTTTTTGATCGTTTGTCCTCAGTATCTTGGAGAGCACGTTTGAGGGGGTGGAGAGCCTCTGCTTGTAGCCAATATATTATGCCACGTTGAGCGGCGATCAATTCGTCTGCCGTGAGGGATTCCTTCCTTTTTGTTCTAAAGCGTAGGCAAAAAGCAATTACCCTTCGCAATTTCAAAATTGAAGAATACCATTCCAGAGAATGTTGCTGTCGTCTACTATAGGCCACATGGCAGAATCTCCTCTTGATCTCCAATGGCGGGGATGAGAATTGGAGATACAGAACTGGCCAGCTGCTTTGATCTGCTTGGAGCCATGAAGGGCCCTCGAACCAAATGTTGGAGGTGATGAAGTCTTTGATGTCTTGTCCACGAGATACGAGATCAGCTGGATTCTCATGAGTCCTTACGTGTCTCCACTCAGCTGGTTCAGACTTTGCTTGAATGTCTGCCACGCGATTGGAGACAAAGGTCTGTAGCTGATGTGCTGGTGTGTGGATCCAGTGGAGAACGATGGTGGAATCAGTCCAGTAGACAGTCCGATCGATGTTGATGTTCATGGCCTTTTTGACACCTTGGATGAGTTTAATGAGCAACTGTGCCCCACAGAGTTCGAGTTTCGGAATGGTAATTTGTTTGAGAGACGCAACACGAGATTTGGCACATAGCAGTGCAGTGTTGACCTCCCCATTGCTTCCCACTGAACGAAGGTAGACACAGGCTCCATAGGCATCTTGACTGGCATCGCTGAATCCATGAAGTTGGATTTCCCTGAATTTTTCTTGGAGTGCAAGGCGTGGAAAGGTCACCTTGCTGATTAAATGAAGTTGATCGTAGAACTGGAGCCACTCTTCTTGAACCTCAGATGGAAGTGGTGTGTCCCAGCCTATCTTCAGCGTCCAGAGTTTCTGCATGATCATCTTGGGTATGATGAAAATTGGTGATAAAAGTCCAAGAGGATCAAAGATCTTTGCAGTTTCCGATAAAACGAAGCGCTTGGTAATTATGGCATTCGTTGATATCTTGGCTGCGTACGTGATAGTGTCTGCTGATGAGTTCCAAAAAACCCCCAGAGTTTTTAAGGTGGTAGAGTCTCCAATTTGCAGATGCTGATTGACACTGTCTGGTGCCAAGTCGTTCAAGATTGATGGATCATTGGAGGCCCACTGCCTGAGGTTGAATCCACCGAGCTTCACCAGGTTATTGAGATCTTCTCGCAGTTGAATAGCTTCTTCTCGTGTCTGTGTTCCAGTGAGCAGGTCGTCGACGTATAGGTCGCGCTGGAGTACCTTTGCTGCGACTGGATACCGATGGCCTTCATCGCTAGCAAGTTGATGAAGACATCGAATCGCTAGGTATGGAGCTGCCGAGAGTCCGAACGTCACCGTGTTGAGTTCAAATGTTCTCACTGGCTCCTTTCCATGGCGCCACAGAATCCGCTGGTATATTCTATCCTCAGGGCGTACGAGAACTTGTCTGTACATCTTCTCGATATCACCTGTAAGCACATATGGATACAGACGGAAGCGGAGAAGGAGAGAGAATATGTCGTCCTGGATTGTAGGTCCGACATGTAGGGTCTCATTCAGAGACACTCCGGTGCTGGTCTTTGATGATCCGTCAAAGACAACACGGACTTTGGTTGTAGTGCTGCTCTCTTTTATCACAGCATGATGTGGCAAATAGTATCCAAACTGGGATAGGTCTCTCTCCGTGACATCTGTGAGGTGGCCAAGATCGAGATATTCCTGGATGACAGCACGATAATGTGTATTGAGTTCAGCATTACCATCCAGCCTTCGTTCCAATGATTTCAGTCGGCGAAAAGCCCGTGATCTTGATTCCCCGATCAGAGCCTTTTTTCCGTTGAACGGCAAAGCGACAATGTACCTGCCGCAATTATCGCGTTTGACGTTCTCCAGGAAGTGTTGCTCGCATTCTGAATTGTCGTTGGTTGAAGATTGAGTGGCGTCGGCTTCTTCGATTTCCCAGAACTTGGTGAGATCGACATCAAGGCTGGAAGTGCTGAGTGCGTGGCATACGCGTTGACGCACNTCTGAATTATCGTTGGTTGAAGATTGAGTGGCGTCGGCTTCTTCGATTTCCCAGAACTTGGTGAGATCGACATCAAGGCTGGAAGTGCTGAGTGCGTGGCATACGCGTTGACGCACCGGCTGCATCGTTGGCGCGCTTCCTCCAATTACCCAGCCGAGCAGAGTCTGCTGAAGATAGAGCTCTAGCTGATCCGCTGGCGTGAGTTTCTTCTTGCCTTGACAGAGCAGTGACAGTGTTGGTCCTGATCCGAGGAGCATGTCCACGGCTGCAGGACAATGAAAATCAGGATCAGCAAGTTTTATATTTGCTGGAATCCNCCGAGCTCTAGCTGATCCGCTGGCGTGAGTTTCTTCTTGCCTTGACAGAGCAGTGACAGTGTTGGTCCTGATCCGAGGAGCATGTCCACGGATGCAGGACAATGAAAATCAGGATCAGCAAGTTTTATATTTGCTGGAATCCTTATTTTCTTGTGGTCCAGAGGTTGATCGGGAATAGCGTGTGTGATGACGGGCACTGTTAAAAAGTCAAGTGTCCTCTCATACTCACTTATCCGAGACCGTATCGTTGCGGTAACCAAGAATCTTGTTGACGTGTTGGTGTCATTCAGAGCTCCTATGGGTACAGCAAATGGCTTCAGTGGTAGATTAAGCGAGACTGCCAGACTTTCTCTAATGAAATTGGTGGTCGATCCGGTGTCTAGAAGTACTCGGCATCCGACAGGTTGTCTGTGAATGTTGAGCACGTTAATCTTAGCGGTGACCATCAAATCGCACGTAGAAGAGTTGACAATCAGAACTGTTCTTCGAATGGAGGAGCTCTGTGCTGAAGCTAGTCATGCTTGTGTTGGAGTTGGCACTGTCTCACTGGATCTGTGCAGGAGGGTATGATGCCTCCCCTTGCAGATCGGGCAGTCTGTTGTGGATGTGCACATGGAAGATGTATGCCCTGGTTTGAGACAGTTGATGCAATGGTTGTTTGATTTAGCTTTGGCGAATCTCTGATCTGGTGTGAGACCCTTGAAGACTGGACACTTGCTGAGGTGACGATGTGTTGTCCCGCAGTGGAGGATACACGATGAGGCCGTTGCTGAGGTTGTTGGTACTGCTGAAGCTGTTGAGTCTGCTGGAGCTATTGATGATGTAGCGAAGGCCTGTCTCCGGAGCTTCTTCTGGTTTCTCTTGTCAGAAGTTGATGTCTCTGATGAAGTTGCTGGGTAGCCCCTAGAAGATGTTGCTCTGGCATCATGACAGGTCGCTCTTGCTTCAATGAATTCGAGGAGTTGCTTGTATGTTGGCAAGTCTACTCCCTGAGTATTGAGCTCCCATTGCCAAATGGTCTCCTGTGCTAGCTTCTGAGTGATAAGATCAGTGAGAGGGAGATCCCAGCTCGTAACCTTTTGCCCAAGTGTTTCCAATGCTTGGATGTGTTGATTCATCACATCAGCAAGTTTTCCTAACTCTGTTGGAGAGTCTCGTTGCAGTGGTGGATAGTCTCTTAAGATAGCCCAATGTCTTCGAAGAATCTTCTTTTTACAATCGTATTTCTTTTTGAGGATGTCGATTGCAGTTGTGTAATTTTCCTCTGTTGTGGCTAAGGAACTAATTACAGCAGCCGCTCTTCCCTTGAGCAATCCTCGTAGATACTGGAACTTCTGGACGACTTCCAAATCTGTGTTGTCGTGGATGACGCTTGTGTATGCATCCCAGAATGTCGGGAATTCTTCAATTGCTCCATCGAAGTCAGGGACCTTGATCTCTGGTAGACGAGGTCGACGAGGTAGGTTGTTGACGACTGTTGGTGGCGTAGCTGGCGCTGGAGAATGTGATATTGATGATTCTCTGGATCTCTGCAGCTCGTGCTGGTCGAGGAGTTCTAGAGCATCTCCAACAGCAGCATCGAAAGAATCCTCCAATTCAAATCGCTTTTGTACCTCGTCTTCATCTAATTCTTCTAATCGTTCCTGGATCTCTGGAAGAGCCTTGAAACGATCCTGGAGTCGTTGAAGAGCAGCTCGAAATTGGTAAGGCTTTCGGTCTTCCTTGGGAGTGCCTCTATAGGTTTCCACGATTGTAGAAAAATTGGTGATAGCAGCTTGTATTGAACCGCGCCTTCTCCGAAGGGTGGAACATTCTGCTTCTTTAGTGATGTTGGCTCCGGTCATTGTAGTGTAGTGGTAGAGGTGATTCACGGATCACGTAGCTTTACACTTATTTTCGTCGCCGATATACTCACTACCGAATTTGAATTATTTGACATACGGCTCGAAGGACCATAAATTATGTACACTCGTTCAGTGAATTAATACTGAAGAGGTGTTTGTGATAAGATATTTTATTTTTAATTTAAAATAATTTTGTAACATTTAACTGAATAATTTATTTATTTACTTATCGATTGTACAGGTTTAATATGAAAGTAATTTAAAACGGATATCAAATAATGCTTATAAAAATATCGAGAGAGTCTGTCTGATATTTATTAAAGATCGAACGTAACCGACGCGGTGTAATTCGTTAACTTGGAAAGTACTGAAGATTATAGCGAAATGTTAGGACTCTTAAGGACAAGCACGGACCATGGCGAGACACGCTTGGGGGAGGTAGAGAAAGACTATCTCTGTGACGTGTCCCTTTTGCAAAACGGAGGAGTGCGGGACTGAGGCCCTTATTATACCTAGAATTGGGGAATGACTCTGCCAGGAAAATTACAGGGATTGGGAAAACCGAATCGTTAAGACCCGTCTAGAGCAATGATGATAAAAGTGCGGAGAAAATAAAATGTTTTTGAGGATTCGGGAAAATATCGACCGTAATAAAATGCTTCGAGCGAATATTTTCGACCGTAGTAAACTGTTTGGAATTAATATTTTGACCGTAATAAAGTTTTGGGAAATGCCGGGGAAAAATTCGATCGTTGTTAATGAGAGACGAGGGATTCACGAAACACCCGTAATAAACAGATTTGTCGGAAATATTTAATAGTCGCCGGGAAGAACGTCATTACCGAAACCGAAATTTGGGAATGTTCTACTCAATGGACATAATAAAACGATTTGCACGATGGATTTATAATTTTCGAAAATATTAATCAGGGGTTTTTGGAAGTTATAATATTTTAGTTTCCGAGAAAAAAAATGAAGCTAATGCGAAGTAAAAATTTTCTGCGCCAGAACACGGACCTTCAAATGTTTATGTAACGGCTTCAAAATCGGGAAAACTGACTTCTGGTAAGATGATATTTTTAATGAATAACAAGATGTGACAAGTTATTTATACTGATTGCAATGTTCATCGTATTCCAAACATTCCAGAGCACTTCAAAATTTGGTTGGAAGAAGTATTCTTTCCACACATGGGACCAAAAAGTCTACTGTTGATCGATTCATGTAGTGGACATTGGTCTCGAGTGGTAGAAGAGGCAACTCCTCGGAATAAAGAATGATTAACTATGCAGATTCCGAAAGGGCCGACCGGGAAAATTCAACCTCTTGATGTATACGGTTTCAGAATTTGAAAAAATCATGGCCGTCATTTTTCAGATACGGTCGTTCTCTTGAATCATGACACCAATTTACATGCACGAAATAATGTAATAAAATTGCAATCTCTAGTTCATAACCAATTATCATCACCAAGGTATCAAAATCTATTTCGTTATGCTTGGTTCCAAAGTGGCTACATTGCCAAAAAAAAAACAGAGAAATTTGATAATCCTGTTGATTTTGCATTTGGACAATCTTCTAATCCACAATGTGATGTTGATGGTTGTTCTAATGTTGCAGTAGTTAGATGCTCGTGGTGCAGAAAGTCTCTCTGCCTGCACCATTTTTTTTTTGGAAATTTCATTTCTCTACCGAGTATAATCCATGACCTCTCTATATAATCTCTCTATATAATAAAAAAATAAGCCCAAAAATTCAGGCGACGCTCAAAATTCAGGCGACGCTTGATCCGGCCCATATATGAGGGGTGCCCATATATGGGGGGGAATTATACGTATGTGGCCTCTTATGGTAAAGTATTTATAGAGCTATCGGAAAAACGCTCCCGGTCACACCGGCTTCAGGGCTTCAGGGGATGTCCCCATCCCTGGAGGGTCTCAAGGGTCATAGGGGCCCTAAGAGTCACGAAGGTCATAGAGGTGCTAAGGGTCATAAGGGTCACAGAGGGGCTAAGGGTTATAAGAATCACGAGGGGCTCAAAGGTCACAGGGGTCATAGGGGTTCTAAATGTCATAGAGGTTCTAAGGATCACGAGGGTCATAGGAGTGCTAGGGATCACGAGTGTCATAGGAGTGCTAAGGGTCACGACGGTCATAGGAGTGCTAAGGGTCACGAGGGGCATAGGGTTAATAAGGGTCATAAGGGTCATGGGGGTTCTAAGGGGACTGCCCATATATGGGTGGATGCCTATATATAGAGGGGCACCCATATATGGAGGGCACCCATATATGGGGGGGTGCCCATATATGGGGGGTGCCTATATATGGGGGGAATTAAACGTTTGTGGCCTCTTATGGTAAAGTATGTATAGAGCTATCGGAAAAACCCCGGTCACACCCACTCAGTCACACCGGGAGGGGGGAGCGAGCGGAGCGAGCAGGGGTCGTAGCCTCCGGTTTTCAGCCTCAAAATTCAGGGGACGCCCCCATCCCTGGAGGGTCTCAAGGGTCTCAAGGGCCTCAAGGATCTTAAGGGTCTCAAGGGTCTAAAAGGTGTGGTGGCCCTTCGTTACATGGGTGCCCATGGAGGGGGTTGCCCATATGGGGGGGGGTGCTCTCTATATAATAAATATAGGACTAACGGTAATAAGGGTCATAGGGATGCAACGGGTCATAAGGGTCACGGGGGTGCTACGGGTCATAAGGGTCATAGAGGGGCTAAGAGTCATGAGGGTCACGAGGGTCATAGATGTGCTACGGGTCAGAAGGGTCACGAGGGTCATAGAGGTGCTAAGGCTCATGGGGGGGTTAAAAGTCATAAGGGTCATAGAGAGGCTAAGCGTCATAAGGGTCACGAGGGTCATAGAGGTGCTAAAGGACAAAATGGTCACGAGGGTCATAGAGGTGCCAAGGGTCATAGGGGTGCTAAGGGTCATAAGGGTCATAGGGGTGCTGAGGGTCATAAGGGTCATAGAGGGGCTAAGAGTTATGAGTGCCACGAGGGTCACACATGTACTAAGGGTCTTAAGGGTCACGAAGGTCATAGAGGTGCTAAGGGTCATGAGGGTGTTAAGGGTCGTAAGGGTCACAGTGGTGC